CGTTCAGGCGGCCGCGGAGCGCTTCGGCCGTCGAGGGCCAGCGGGCGCGTGAGAATGGATTGGTCCTCCACATTTTGGATCATTCCTCGAGCCCTCCGCCTAGCCTTGACGCGCCTGCCTCGTCTGGGCGGCTTCGCAGAGTGCAGAGCAATTCCCCGGAATGTCAGCTTCCCTGCACTCCAGTCTAGTGAATTAATGAATTAAGGAACATGCCTTTTATATCATATTATGTTTCATATGCATACACACGCGGTTCATTGTTAAATTACCTAACCTAACCTAACCTAACCTAACCTAACCTAACCTAACCTAACCAACGTAACCTACCTAACCTGCCAAATTGCAGGTACTGTAAACCTATCGTGGAATTAGAGGATTACGATTCAGAGTTTTATTGGTAGAAAACGAAATTTGGTGTGAGTCTCCTGGTTAAATTTGAGCCTAACCTAACTAACCTAACCATAACTGATAAACCTAACCTAATGTAAACTCTAATCCTAAGCACCTCCCCAAATTGCATGGTACATGTAACCTATCGTGGAATAGATGTGCATTCACGATCAAGTTTTGAAGAAAAACGAAATTAAGAGTTTCCTGGTTAAAATTTGAGCCTAAAATAACCTAACCTGAACCTAGCCTAAACCAACGTAACCTAACCTAAACTCCCCAAATTGCAGTACGTAACTATACGTGGCTGATTTAGGAGGTGCATTACGATTCAAGTGTTATAGTGAAAATACGAGAGATTTTCGAGTTCTCCTGGGTTAAATTTGAGTCCGTAAATCCTAGCTTCGCTAAATCCGAACCCATACTTTAACCTCACCGCCTAAACAAACGTAACTAACCTAACCTTCGCCCAACATTGCATCGGTACTTGTGACTATCGGGATTAGAGTGAATTTACGAATTCATTTTATGTGAGAAAACGAAATTTCGAGTCTCCTGGTAAATTGACCTAACCTAACCTAACCTAACCAACCTATACCTAAACCTAACCTAAAATAACCAACGTTAAACCTTAACACTTAACCTACCCCAAATTGCCAGTACATCGTAACCTATCGTGGATTAGAGTGATTTACGATCAAAAGTTTATTGAGAAAAACGCAAAAATGCGAGTCTCTCTGGCTTAAATTTGAGGTCTCTCAACCTAACCATAACCCCTAACCTAACCTCTAACCTAACCAACGTTAACCTTAACCTAACCTCCCCAAATTCAGTACCTGCCTATCCCTATCGTGATTAGAGCTGTCATTTTACATTCATTGTTACGTGAGAAAGCGGATAGATAACGGGAGTCTCCCTGGTTCTAAATTTGAGCTAACTAACCTAACCTAACCCTAACCCTAACTAACCCCTATACCCAAACGTAACTACACTAACCTCCCCCAATGCAGTCACTGCCTAACCCAATCGTGGAATCCTAGAAGTATTACCGATCAAGTCCTCTATGTCGAGAACAACCAGAAAAGTGGAATCTACCTCCTGGTTTAAATTGAGCCTAACCTAACACCCTAACCTAAACACCTAACCTAAGCCTAAACCTATACGCAAATAGCGTAACCTAACCTAACCTCCAAATTTGCATACTGTAACCTATCAGCATTAGTACTCACCGATTCTATGTGTTATGTGAGAAAACGAAATTTAGTTCCCCTGTTAAATTTGAGCCTAACCTACCTAACCCTAAACCTAACCTAAACCAACACGCTAACTACCAACCCTCCCAAATTGCAGGTACTGTAACTTATCCGTGGATAGATGACTTTACGATCACCAGTTATATGTGAGAAAACGAAATTTGCACTCTGGTCTAAATTTTGAGTCGCGTAACCTAACCTTACTTAACCTAAACCCTACACGAAACAGAACTAACCAACGTAACCTAAAACCTAACTCCCCAAATGCAATACCTGAACCTACTCTTGGATTAGCAGTACTTTACATCAAGTTACTGTGAGAAAAGAAAAACGAAATTTGGGAGCTCCGTAAATTTGAGCCTAACCTAAACTAACCTAACCTAACCAACGTAACCAACCTACCTCCCCAAATTATGCATGTTTACATGTCAACCTATCGGGATAGCAGTGATTACGAATCAAGTCTGTGAGTGAGAAAACGAAATTT